TCTGGCTTAGCGTCGGATGAGGGTGTGCGAGTAGGGGAGTGGGGGGTAGGGCGAAGAATTGCTTATTAGCATGAGCACCGTAGCGTCAGCGTCCCGTGGGCAGAAGCGATTCCACGCGAACGAAAGGGAAAAAGTGAGAGTTTGGAGAGCAGAGGAGAAGGAAGGGGGTGGGGGTGGCGGTGACGCAGGGGCGCAGGCATTGACGCACCCGCCAGGCTGGGCCCAAAATAGCAGCAACTCCAGCTATGGGGCGCCCTCCGGGTTTCTTTTCCCCTTCCGCTAGAGAGCAGGGCGCGGCCAGGGGGAGCTTTCCTTGATCCCCGCGGTGGGGCAGGCTCCCGGCAGCTATTTTCAGTTGGAAACTCAAGCACAGCCACTCTAGAGTGGCAGGTTTTATTTTTTAATATAGTCCTAGGAAAGCGGGGGCCTGGAGAACTTGAAGGTTGTAACCACCATCTTTCATACACAGACATTCACGTCTAAGTAAGACACATCCCCTCTGCATGCTCCCCTCCTTAATCGCCAATAAATACACACCTAATTTACGCTGGATTGACTCTGGGGACTTGGAAAATGCCCTCCCAGAAAGTGGGAAAGTGTCCTGGAGTTCTTACAGTGAGATCCAAAGATGCCAAGAATTGTAATGTGAAGCGCTATTTTTTAACGACAACCTGTCGTGTACGGCTTCTTGATTATCAGTCTTTGCCCAGGTCTTAATGCACTCAAGACCGAAAGGCAGTTTTCACAGCAGCTTATTGTAGTAATTACTAAGAATTGAAAGATTAGACATAGTATTACCATGAAAGAAAGGGGTACTTTTTCTCTTCTACTCTGCCCTCCGTGTTAAAGTTCTCTTGAAATTCCTATTCTTGTTCCTGGGAAGAGTTACCACTATTGTATCTCTGTGGAAGACATCGGAGTATAAGACTGATCAAATTTCTTAAACCAGTCCTTGAATAAGCTATTTCTTAGGTTAGGGGTTTTGGTAGAGCTCAGATGTGCTCAGGATGGAAAGGATCCAGCACACGGATCAGAAAGTGTGAAAGGTCACACTCAAAACCCCAGATTACTGTTTTTCCCAACGAATTCTTGATGGGACTCAGTAGCACCGCCATTGCCTGTTATTGACTGATCCAGTCAGTAGGGGGCCTGACTCCACAATGTTCAAGAGAATATCACACACGCACACACATGTGCTCACACACACAAGTAGCCATTTACTACTTAGGCTAAACCTGGGGAGAGAATGCTGCAGGCCCAAATATTCATAGAGTGGTGGAATTCATAAATGACTACAAATATTTACCTCTCTTCTATTTTCTCCAAAAGAGAAACAGTTTAACACAGGGAATTGGGTTCACAGTAGCTTTTCTTTATTTCCTCCTGCCCATGTATAACTCATATTTAAATTATGGGGGAGGGAAATCAAACTGGTAATACAATCTTTTATTACATCACTAAGCAGTTCAAATTGGCATATAGTTTGGAAAAATGAAAGCATGTTTTAAAATCCTATGATTACGTGTTTAAATAAATTATAGTTTAGAAGAGGATTCCTGTGGGTGTATTTGCTAGTACATAAGAGAATGCTTTTGTGCATAGAGGTTTAATTACACGTATAATAGAATCAAAATGTAAAATTGAACAACCTTTCAGAAAATGTTAAAGCGATGCTTTAGGCTAAAAGAAACTGAAATTCTGCATTTATATGACTGCAGCCCTTCAAGATTCTTGAACATAAATAGTTCAAATAAAGTATTTTAGAACTCAATTAAAATGACAATATTGGTTTTTTCAGGACCCCCCCACACACACACCTGATGTAACTTTAAATTACTGCTATGTATAAATATGTAGGGTTACCCCACAATGACAGTCTATTTCCTTTTTAATAAATGGGAGTAAAAATTGGACCTATCCATAAGTAGCTCCCTCTTTTGAAACCAAATAAAATAAACGACAAGGTATTGCTATTGATAAATACTAGTAGATGACCTCAGAAAAGCCTTTAGGAAAATAATGGTACCTATACTTTCTTTTAATATATTAATATTAAGCAGAACATATTAGCGCATATATAGCAAACATTTTCATTAAGTGTCAATATAAATAATACATATATTCACATCTTACACAAAGTATTTTATTTTATGCATGCTAAGCAGATTATACTTAATAAAATTGAGCTTTTGGTATAATTTAGAAAGCAAACATGGATGTAATCCCATAGAATTTTCTATTTTAATGCATGGGAAAGAGGCCTTTAGGGATTTATTTCACTATTCTCCCCAAATGAATTCAGAG